GTTAAACTGCAGAACATTCCACTTGAAAAATAGCTGATCTGAAATACTGTGAGCAGGGAACACCCAGAGGGAATAGGAGAAGACGAGGTGAGCCAACTTGTGCAGCTCGGCTGGGAAGCCAGAGGGAAGGAGCAGAAACACAGCCTCTGCCCCCCCAGGAGCATGGGTTCTCAGCTCCACACAGAGATCCCCAAACCAGAGCAACAGAGAAGGGAAGGGGAGCCACCTAGCACTGCGCAGTGGGAATCAGTGGTGATTCAGCCCGCCTGGGAGACTCAGACCTCACTATCCCAGGCAAAAAGCAATTGCTTGGTTATAACACCAGCCTGGGAAGTTCACCCCCATCAGGTGTCTGCAGGGCAGGCCACCCAGCAGAACTCCGGACTGGCAGAGGGGTCTGAGAGGTTCACCTAGCAGTGAATCTGAGGATCCAATTCTTCTCTGAAAGGACTTCTGGTGGAAAGCAGGATGGGGGCCAGATGGAGTGCCCTGGGAAAGAGGGATCCTCCCCACCTCGAGCCAAGAGGAGGAGCCCCTTCCCCCACCTGTGGAAGGGTTCTGGGCTGGAAATCTGTACCCCTGCTGCTGAGGCAGGCGCACAGGGGACTGGGATATCTGGCCTGAAGGGAGCCTGGGCAGAAGCCCCGTCAAGTGAGAGCTGGTGGAGCAGAAAGCTTAGAGAGTGAGGCGGCCTGTTGTTGTTTTTCAAATATCCCCTCCCGCTTAGGGTCACAACAAAGGGGTGCCACTGACCCAGGCAGAGAGCTGAGGCGTTGGAAGGAGAAAAAGTGCCCACTTGCCCCTCCTACAAGCTACAGGCACCGTCCCCAACCGAATCTGTTTAGACCATCCTGACCCAGACCAGGATACCCCGCCCCCCCCAAAGCCCAGTTCCATGAGGGAAGGCAGAGCAGCTCAAAATAAGGACATTATTCAAGGTTCGAGTCCCAAGGCCGACCCAGCCTTGGGCTAGGGAGGCCTTGCCCACCAGACTACTAGGGAATCCACCCTGCAGGGCTTCAGTCAAGTTGCCCGGGGCCAGGCAGGAACAGCAACTCACACTGGCCTGCACCTGAGAAATTCCCAAGGCACAGGACAGACACACCAAAGAGCCAGGTCCAACAACATCAGAGCAAAATCCAGGGAGCTCCACAAATATAAGATCCAAAGGTAATTTTTTTGTTTCTTTGTTTTTGTTTGGTTTGGTTTTTCTTTCTCTTTCTTCTATTTTTTCTTTCATGTTCTCTTATTTCTATCTTTCATCTTGGTCTATTTAGTCTGAGACTCACCTCAGAACAAAAGATTCCTACAGGATGAAAGTGAAGGGATGGTACATTTACACCATGGGACACTATACAGCTGTAAAAAAGAAGGATCTCTTACCCTTTGAGGCAGCATGGAGGGAAAAGGAGAGTATTATGCTAAGTGAAATAAGCTAGTATCATGTGATCTCACTTATATGTGGAATCTAATGAACAAAATAAACTGAGGAATACAATAGACCCAGAGCCATTGAAGCACGCAACAGACTGAGTATTTCAGAGGGAAAGGGGGGCGGGGGCGGGAAGAGATTGACCAAAGAACTTACATGCATATATGCATAACCCATGGTCACAGACAATAGTGTGATGAAGGACTGGGGAGGGGGTGGGAGTGGGAATGGAGGGGGTCAATGGGGCAAAAAAGAGGACATCTGTAATAAAGATAAATAAAATTGAATAATAAATAAATAAATAAAATTGGACCATTATCTTATACCATTCACAAATATTAACTTGAAATGAATTAAGGACTTAAATATAAGACCTGAAACCAAAAAATTCCTCAAAGAAAACATGTCCTTGACATAGTCTTCTCAATAATGTTTTTATATATGGAAGCAAAAGCTCAAACAAAGAAGCAAAAATCAACAAGTGGGACAACATCAAACTAAAAAGCTTATGCACAGGGCAAAGAAAACAATCAACAAAATGAAAAGGCAACCTACAGAATGGGAAAAATATTGGCAAACCATATACCTGATAATGGATTTATTTCCAAAATACATAAAGAAATCATACAACTCAATAGCAAAAACAAGCAAACAATCCAATTTGAAAATGGTCAGAGCACTTAGACATTTTTTCCAAAGACATACAAATGGCCAACCAGTACATGAAAAGGTGTTCAATATCACTAATTGTCAGGGAAATGCCAATCACAACCACAACGAGGTGTCACCTCACAGTTGTTAGAATGGCTGTTCCCACTACTTTTGAACTCTAGCTCCTTACTACTGACAGCATATTTCCATTAATTCTTAACACCTTCTGGGTTTGAGACTCGGGGATGCCTGCAGAACTGGGTCCTCAGCTTTCTTTGAAGCAGAGGCAAGCAGCCCCAAGACTGTCCCAATGCCTGAGGTACTCCCTTTAGTGCTGGGAGCCTCCTTCTGAGGGAGCCCGGGCTTCTGGCAGCACATGGCACAGCTGACACCTGGTGGGCATGAGCTATAACTGCATCACTCCACATGAGGATCCAAGATCCTGAAACTGAGTGTATTTCCCTGAACACAATAAATAGACTAGAATTCCTTCCTCAGCCCTGAGGCACTTCATCTCTAAAGCAAAAGCCAGGTCTGTGTAACATTCTTAAATTTCCTCTGATGTTCCATTTAGTCTTCTCAGTTTCACAGTGTTACAAGATTTTTTAAATATAATCATTGTGAAAATAAAAAACAGCTTTTGAAAGTTTTAAAAGAAAAAATAACTTCCAACGACATGTTTAAAGGTGCCTGAAATATTGCTTCATAAAATACAAGAAACTTAGATGGATCCCTCAGCATCTTTGCATATTCTTCTACATGTACGTATCCAAAGTTAATAAGACGTAAAGAAAAAGCAGTTCTTGTTCATTCAACACACATTTACTAAGTGTTTACCATGTTTCAAGAAATATGTTAGATCTGAGATATAACCATAAGCTGTGGTTAGAATTCAATACATATGAACATTGTTCATTTTAAATAAAATGTACATTACATGGTTATCACTCCCAATTTCTTTTTCCCAATATCATCTGAGCAACCTAGGCCATTGTTCAACATAGTACTACTGAAAACCATATGCTACCATGCCAAATTTTCTAAAAACTTCTGGTTGTTATGAGCGATTTCCCCAGTCTTGATACACACACACACACACACACACACACACACACACACACACATATCACACTCTTCCCAAATTAAAAACAAAAGTAATTTCCTTGTCTTTCTGCTCTGGGAAAAGTGCTACATAATTTTTTAAACATTTTATCCCTTCTTTCTCATATAAAGAATAAAGACGTAGCAAAAATAGCATTGATTTTCAAGAATGAATGACTGGGTTCTAATCCCGACATGATACTTACTCTGCCCCCTGACAAAAGTAATCTGACTCCCTGCTTCTAGGTTGTCTCATCTGCAAAAAGGTAGTATCAAAGCCAACAGTGTCTTTATAAGGAAGGACTATATACAATAAATCTGTAAGACTACCATAGTTCCTGGCAAACAGTAGACACAAAATTAATGATAACTCTTCTCCCTTTTCTATTCTTTCCCCACAATTTTGGCCCTTTTATTTCACCAAAAGTACTCACTGCTCATTACAGAAGCTTACATAACATTACAACTTTCATATTTCAATTAGGTATGTATCCCTTAATGTAGAAAAACCATACTTTATGTAGAGGCAGTCTTCATCTGGAGAAATAAATAGCAACTCATAACTTTTTATGGATTGATGACTCCCACTGAGCTGAAACTGAAGGTATTCTTTATAAAATTAATTTTTTAATTATATTTTTTTATTTTTTAAATTTATCTTTATTGTTGAAAGTATTACAAATTAATTACCTTTTAGTTTCTTAATGCCAAATTTTTTATTTTAGCACTCCATGTGTGGCTCCACAAAACATTAATTGTTCTACTTTGAGTCAGTTCCAGACAAGAGACATAGGTTTAAACATTTTATAAGACTCATTTCTATGCTATCACATAGTCAGGGAAAGGAAGGAATTTTAAAAGGTTCCCTGATTAAGTCCCAGGTAAAATACCACAGTATTCAAAACAGACAATTTATGGTTCATAGTATAATTGAATTTATACTCTGAGCAACATGTTTTTATTTACATATAATTATTTTTTATTAATGCAGGTTAACATAGAAAGAAATCTGTCAAGTTCCTCTTCACAGAAGCACTTTTTCAATTCTGAAAAATTTAAAGTCACCTTTAAAGTCACCTTTTTTCTTTTTCAAGTTAAATCATTCTAGCTCTTTCAATTTTTCTTCAAAGAGTACACTTAAATTTTTCCATTTTTATGACCTATTTGGATTTCTTGACATTTTATTAATATTTAAAAAAATATAATTTATAGGCAAAGTACTGGAAAGGCAGTTTAGTAGCAGAGCAACTTTTTCTAATTGTGAATCCTGTCCCATGGAAATGCTTGCAAGTTCATTTAACAGATGTTCTGAGGAAAATTAAATTCAACACATTTGGCACAAGAAACTTAAGAGATTGTTGTGGAGGTCTTACAATCATACCTTTATCAAATCAGTAAAGTTAATAAATCAAGTGCTTTGAGACTATGTCTAACCTATTTATTCACTAATACATTTTTGCACTGAGCTGACAACATTAAAAAAAGGTATTCCTGTACTTAGGGCATTAATAATGTCCTAGGAGAAAAATCACAGATACAGGAAATTAAACATTATCAGAAAAACAACAACACACACACACACAAAGAAACTTCCAAAATAACAGAATAGAAACTGAGTCTGTAATTGTTGGAAAAATGAAGAACAGAGGAATGATAAAAGTCAAATCAGATTGTCAAAGGTCAAACTTTTACGGTAAACTCATTTTGAAGAAGTAGGAAATTCTTAGAGGTTCTCCAGTCCATACCCATTCCAGGTACTTCACCTTAAAACAAGGAAAAACACTCACGATGAAGAAAAGCTATGGTGATACTGAAATTATAAATCTTCCTGTTCCTCACCACTTTCAAAATCAGTTAAAATGAACCGGTTTTCCTCTTCCCAAATAAAAAGGTTCTCACCCTCAAAAACATAAAATATTTTTAATATATTTCTGTTGCTAATATTTAAGGATGTCTCAACTTGGCAAACTAGGCAGGCTTGCCCAAGCATTTGAAAGAAGAAATAATAGTTGATATTGTCCCTTATTACTTGGTTCAGATTCTTCCTTGAGCTCTGGACTCTGTTGTTTAATAAGTTGTTATTTTCATCTACTTCAAAGATTTCCTTTGTCTGACGGCTGGGGTCTTGTGCGTTTGAGTTCACATTACCCATAACGAACAATGATGTGTGCAGGAAATTCACACAAAACCTTTTCTTTAAATAGAATTGAAATGTATTTAAAATAGTTTCTTCCTCTAAGTCCAAGAAGTTAACTCTTTTTAATTTTCTTTTATCTATCAAGTCAAATGTGCTACTGAAATAAAATGGATCAAATATATCACCAATAGCATTATCAATAAATGCCTTTCCACTATTTGCTGTATTCTCATCTCTGAGCATGGTTTTGTTTGACTCTAGTAAATAGTGGTGTAGTTTCATCCATAAATAGTTGTCCAAGGAATTTTCAATATCAGAATCTTTGCAATATGCCACTCCTCGGTCTTCCTCGTTTATAGGTTGGAAAATAACTGTTAGTATTGGGCAATGTTGACCACAAATAGCATAGAGTTTATCCAGGGAGTCGCCTTCCTGAAGTGCACCACGATTATTATTATTTCCAGGCAAAGGCTGGTTTTTAACAGTGTCATCAGAGACAGGATGGACTTTGTTGGCAGCAGTAAAGACATGAGTGACAGATGTGCATACTCTTTCTGACCTAAGGTTACCCTTCTCCTCTGCATGGTGATTTGGTATTCTCCCCTTGGAACAAGTTTTGTTTTGAACATCTAGCAAATCCTCATGAAAAGGCTCAGAGTCACTACAATGGGGCATGTTAAAATAACTGCATTTCAGTTCCAGGGGTTGAGTCAGTTCCTCCAGTTCTGAAAAAGACAGTTCAGCCATGTTTGAGCCTGGGGCCAAATTTCCAAAGTGTGAATATGGTACCTCATTACTATTATTATCAAGTAGAGTATCTACTGATGTGGTGTCTGCATTGCCACATGTGCCAGAATTTTCAGGAGATGATACTCTTAGCAGGTGATTTTCTTTCAGGAGCCACGTGCCCTTGTCAATCAGTACTCCTTCCACTGTGTCCCTGATGACTCTGTTATGATCATTTCGTTCTGTACTATGTTCTACAATGTCTCCCATATGATAATTGGCCTTCATGTCATTAAAGTCATAGTTATCTTGTCTTTCCTCCTGAAATTTCTGCAACTTAGAAACTCTGGATACCTGTTCTGAAGAGCCAAATGACTGACCTTCAGAATCATAAAGATCTACTTTCCTAGCACAGGGAAATTCCATAGAATTGCAAGGACAAACCTGAGATCTGTTTGGAGGCCCCGGGAAAAAAGATGGTTTAACAATCTCCACCTTACCATAAAGTTTTTCTATTGTTCTTTTAACAAATCCTTTATTGTACTCTTTCTCTTGAGCAGTCTCCTCGCCACTGTCATTGGGGCCATCACTGGACAGTTTATTTGGCTGATCATTCTCGCTATCTTGTGTGTAGTCCAACCATTCAGAAGTCGCTGTTCTCTTCAAGCAGCTTTTAAAATTAAGAGGAGACTCTGAACAACTTCCAGTTTCCATGCTTTTCACCATCATTTTTACTCTCATTTTCATTTCTCCTTCATTGAGCTCTTCAGGAGTGTAGCAAAACACTAAAGATGGTAGTGGTGTCTGCTCCCTACTGATTGCCTCACAAATTACACCATTCCTTCTTTCTTCTGTAATGTCCCTGCTAGAGACTTCTATCAATTCCACATTTTTACTAGCCTCTAACTCTTTTTGGATCAGTTCTTCAGTGGTTTGCTGTCCTGCATTTACCTTTGTATTAAAAATATCAATGTCCTGCTTTTCTAATTCTTCAAAAGATTCCAGTTCTGAAATATGTCTTTCACTTGATGTCATGCTGTTGGTTATTGAGCCTGGTTCTTCAGAAGTCTTGGATTCTTCCTTATCAAAGGATGCATATGCATTTTTATCCTGAAATTTCTTTAATGAACAATTTCTAGATTCAACTAGAGCTCTATGTTCCTTATCAAATTCTGGTTCCATTGCATTTAGGGAAAAGCCACAGTGGTTTAAATTGCTATTCTGGTGTGGCATCAACACATTAAAGCCATGTTTATACCCAGGGTCTGTCAAAATATTTAGGTCTTCCTGAACATCATCAACTCTTTCTAACTCTTCAGTCAATTCCAAATTATCAGTATATGTGATATCTTTGGAACTTAAAAAGTCATTGGTATTGCAGACTTTAATGGGAAGGCAGGCCCCATCACTTGGGCAAGCTGTCTCATAAGTACGGTTTTCCTCATGAGCACAAGCCTTAGGAGAAGATACAGCATCAGCAAGTAAACAGACCTCTCCGGGGAAACAAGCCTGACTCATAGAGCTCTGACCCATGGTACAGACATCGCTATGGGAGAAAATGTTACTGAGGTTACAAGTCTCTTTTGGAAGATAAATCTTACTCACAGTACACACCTCACATGAAGAGCAAGTCACCTCTGAGGCATGAACTTCAGGAGCACAGTCCTCACTGGCATTTAAAGAGAGTTTCTGTGTTTTTTCATTTTCAATGCACTCAGAAATTCTCTGACTGTTGGGTGTGGAACAATTTGCAGAAAGACCTAATGGAACCATGTCTTGTCCTTTCTCAGTGAGTCCAAAGGGATCTGTAGTCGACTCCACTAAATTGGCAACAGCAGCCTTCAAGTCATCAGCTTCCTCTGTGATGGCAATGTGCTTTAGAATCTCCAGCAATGCAAGTATTTCTGAAGTTCTGTTGGTAGTCTTGTGAGCATCACCTTGACAGTAGCTATTCACACTTCCCTTTAGGTTTAGCACCAGGAGCCAAGCTAGAAGGATATTAGTGGATGAATTACGTATTGGGGAATGGAAAGGAACATCTACAAGTGAGCCTGGCACTTGAACACCACCACTCTGAGTCTTGTGAATACTGGGAACTAAAGCTTGCAGTTGGTGAAGCAACCGTACTGGTAAGAGGTCTTTTGGAGGGGCCTCTTCCATTGTATCTACTTGGATGGCAGCCTCTACACTTTGCCCTTTTGCAGGTAGGTTTATTTCTTGGTAAACAAGGCTTGGTAAACAAGGTCCTGACTTTTCAACAGATCCCTGACTTTTAGTATTATGATTATCAATAGCTGACTGTGACAAAGTACAACATTCATTCAGAGAAAGCAAGAAAGCATCATTCAGAGATTCAACTTGGCTCTCATGGAGATCTTCAATAAGTTCTTCACTGTTACCTTTGCCAAAAGATTTACCTACCTCCATACCTAGGTTATCTCCTGTCAAACTGGCATTTTTAGTTATGTGCTTATTATTTTCCATGACAAAATTCTTCCCTTTTTCAGAACTTATGTGATAGTTATTTCCCGGAAAATCATTGTTACAATTTACTGCATTCCTTTCCTTTTTGCATATTAGTGCTGATTTTTTAGGTTGCAAAGCTAAATGTGGATTTATGTTCTGCAACCATCTCTGTATATAATTTTGAACTGAACGATGGGTAATATCCTCAGGAAAAACAGTTTTTTTCAAAGAAGCTAAGGAATTTACCCTTGTCGTAGCATGTTGTTTACTTACAATAGTTCCTGATTTCAACTTATCCCTTTTTTGTTTTTTCTGGCTTTTTAGAGTTATGTGTGAATTATTAACTTTTGGAACTAAACTCCTTTTTTCCATTCCTCTCAAATACCAAGATGCTATTTCTGCCTGAGCCCGTGGCCCACAAAAAGCACTGGGGTTTTGCTCAAGAAAGTTAATTACGTGAAATAAATTTTGATTTTCAGAAGTACTTTTTCCATATCTGAACTCATTATGGGGAAATGCTTTATCTCCTTGACCAGTTTCTTTTTTTGCAGGGCCCCCTAGGTTTATTTTGTTTAGTGGTCTGGATTTTCTTTTGGGCAAAAGTCCTTGAACCTTAGGATTCTGAACAGTATTTAATTTATTTCTTTGGAAATTCTTGGAATTAACAGGATCGAGATTACTTTTGGAACAAAAATAATTTGTTTCAATTACGATATCACTTGCATGGAGTTCTTCCTCATGAAGTAACCCTCCTTCAACCGGGATGTGTGGATCCTGCAACAGAATTTCCTGTTCAATTCCACCTCCTGTGTTTATTCTCTTACTATTACAAGGAATTCCTTTGGTTGCAATCTCTCCATCCTGATGCCTATAACTTTTCATTTGCTGGTGAGATTTCATCTTTGTTGTGCTGGCAACAGATGATGAAATCTGCTTTTCATTTTCTGGGGGTTTTGTTAAACCGCACTGAGCAAATTCATTAATTAGTCTGTCAATTCTTCTGGTGACAGTAGAGGATCCTACCGAAACTGGGGTCTCAGAAATAGTTTTGTCAGTTCCTGAGTTGTTGCTTAAAGAATGAGCTCCATCTGTTAAAATAGGGCAGAACCTATCATTGATGTTACAAGTTCTTAAGTTCTCCGTACTAGTTTTGTGGTCTGGTGTTACACTATCAACTGTATCTTCCTCCACAATTACGTTTTCTGGTATAGTGTGTGGAAAGCCATCATCATGGGACATCTCTAACCTCTTCTGGCTTGTAATTTCTATAACACCAGCACTTACTGAACTTGACTTGAGCTGTCTGCTTTCTTTTTTTCTTTCTAAAGATGACTCCATCTGCTCATTGTTATCTATCTGAACAAGTACTGGTTTGTTAGATACTGATGACATTTTACTGCAAGAATGTGTAAACATGTGATACTCAGATTTGTTTTCCCCATCTTTCCTTTCTTCACTATAGGAAAACTGTCCAATCATTTTCTCTTGAACTGCAGTTTCAGATACTAAGGTCACACTCCCTATCACAGATTTCTTTTGTCTCACTCTCCTTGGTCCAGGTGTAGGGGGCCTATAAAAATGATGCTCTGCTTGATCCTCAGTTCCCCGGATGGTATTTGTGTCCATAGCAGAATTCTCCTGACCAGAAGAACTGTAAGTTTCAGCCTCTTGACCTGTCATTTGAGTGTTTATCTCCTCTGCCAAACTGTCCTCTTGATCATTGCCTTTCTCCAGAGGTGAGACATCTGCAGGCAATGAACGTGCTGCAATCTTTAAACCAGATGACAGACCATCCGTTCTTTCTGGAAAACTGCTTATCTCACTCTTTTCATGACTATTAGAAAGACCAGCTCTACTGATACTGGTTGTCCATTTTATGGTTTCCTCTTCTTTTATCTTGAATCGAACTTTCATCTCAACTGTCATAGTGCCATCTCGATTAAAAATAATTGATTTCTCAACATCATCTTCAGAAGGATATATCAATAAATTCTGAGAACCCTTTTTTCCTAAGGCCAAGCAATGTTCAGGAGCAAAGGAATGGTCTGAGTAGCAATCATTATTATGCATTTTGTCAGAAGAAGCAGAATAAATCTGAGACCTTAGGCTTGAACGCACATGTGTGCTCACTTTCAAGATTTTAAGAGTAAAAGATGCCCCACATTAAAATATCATGTGGAAGGTACAGAATTATATATAAATATATATATCCAATACACATATCCAATAGAAGAGGCAGCAAGGAAAGAAAGGAAAAAGGAAATTATTAGTATGAAAAATACCGTATTTTCTAAATTTCCTAGTAAGCTATGTGTCTCACCTCTACGTATTCACTGGTTATTTGAGTTCACTGTGATAGCTGGTACATTTCTACAAATTTTTCTTTAAAAAAGAACTTATCATCATACTTCAATGAGGAGATTCACAGAATTTTAATTCTGAGTTGAATAAGGCAATTTTAAAAAAGAAAGTATAAGCAGAAATTGCTAAGGATTCTAGCAAAAATAGATTTTTGTGGTGTTGAGTTTTTTTGTTTGATTTTCTTTACTAAAATTCGAGTCTAACCAAGTGCTGCTGACTTATTCAAAGCAAGTAATAATTTACGATGGTAATTCTTTTCCCATCTGTGCACATCCAAGAGAGGCATCTATAGCGTTATGAAAGCTAAAGCATTTTTATAATTTAAAGGCTACATTAATCAAATAATAATAATTAATTTAGTATTCACTTTGTATAATCAGTGCATCTAATTTAATATAGGGCACAAAAGAGAGCGAGGCATAAGGCCCAGATATCTCACTGTCTTTATAATGTGTATCTCTAGAGATAACCTTGGCACTCATGCTTCTTATACCCAATCTAATTCCTACTAGTGACTTGTATAGATTTTCACATACTTGTCATCAATTAAATACCTTTAATTTTTCAAAATATAAACCTAAAATGTTTTCTCTTGTTCCTCTGTACTTTTGTTAAAACTATAAATGAAAATGTCTCACTCATAATTTTTTAAAGTAAAACTTAAAGAAGCCCTCAGATTCCCTGAAACCATCTAAAATCATACTGAAGCCCAGCCGGGCTTGGCTCAGCGGTTGAGCATCGACCTAAGATCCAGGACATTGGGGTTCAATTCCCAGTCAGGGCACATGCCCAGGTTGTGGACTTGATCCCCAGTTGGGGGCGTGCAGGAGGGAGCTGATCAATGACTCTGTATCACTGATGTTTCTATCTCTCTCTCTCTCCCTTCCTCTCTCTAAAATCAATAAAGATATATTTAAAAATAAATTTTAAAATAAAATAAAATCATACTCAACCACCAACATCAAACACAAAATAATAAAATCAGTTTAGCAAAATGACCAAGGTAAAATAATACTACTATATGCATAAGTAGTATTTAAAGAAACTTTTCTTTAAATAAATAAAAAGTGAATCTAAGGGTCTCTGGTTTTTACTTCAGTAAGTGGAGAATATATGTAGTTAGAGATTTATAAAAACACAGTCACTCAACTAACCTACTGAGCTCTGCATGATACAATTTAGAGACAACTCTGCAACTACCAGAGATGTCACTTACATATTCCATAGACTTCCTCTCCAAATAAAGAAATGCTGGCATTTTGATTTTTTATCTAGGAATTATATTAAAGAAACCCATACCTCATCAATTCAATTTAAACACAAATATCACTGATTGATTTAGAAAAATATTTTTAAAAATTATGAGATAAACTTTTATGATTCTTTCCCACTATAAATACAATTGATTTCAGTTTATAATGTTTTTGATCCCATTTTCTCTTCTGTGATGAAGAAAGGTGGTCATTTAAGCATGGATTTTTGTTGTTGTTGTTGTAGGCCTAACAAAATCTCAATGCTGAATATAAATGCTATATATTTAAGTGACTTACTCTTTTGGCTTTCTGACCTAGTATTTCCCTTGGGGAACACACGACGAGAGACCCCTGGTAATCTAGCAGGAAGCAAATACTTTTGGGTGTCATAATCTCCTGGTTTAAATGGCTCCCTCCCTGCTGCCACCACAACTCCAGAGCTCAGAATCACCGCCTGGAGACTGGAAACCTAGAAGAAACCAAAGAGTTATGGTTCTTACGTAAGTAGCATGAAGTTTTGTTCTCTCCATATGATTATTTTATAACTGATTGAATTAATTCAACAACCTCCTGAGCGGGAAAGAGGTCATTACCCAGTATTTGTTAGGCACCAGTGATGCACATCAAATAAAGGATTACCAAAGGTAGGCAGTCGGGGTTAGACCAACACCCTCATGGAGCCTACATACTAGCTAGAAAGAGACAGACCCGTCTTCCGTCAAACTAAAGAAATCTTTAAAAGGTGTGCAGCTCTGCCCCTGCCTCCCCCACCAAAGTAACCAGCTGTAGCCACATGCCTACCCTCACCCTAAGCCAGATGGTAAAGGGCCTGGTGGACGCACCAGGACCAGGAGGGTGAGCTCTAGTGGACACACCGGGCAACTGCAGGGGAAACTCTCCCCTGACCCCTCCGCAGGGATCCCAGGAAAAGTCCTTCTCTACCTAACAGAATATGACTCTTGGGGACTCCTTTTCAAGAAATACGGTCAGCCCGGCTGGTGTGGCTCTGCGGACTGAGCATCAGCCCACGAACCAAGGGGTCAAGGTTGGACTGGGGTCAGGGCGCAGGCCCGGGTTGTGGCTCGATCCCCAGCAGGGGGCGCGCAGGAGGCAGCCGATCAATGATGTTTCTCTCCCTCCATCTCCCTTCCTCTCTAAAATCAATAAAAACATTTAAATATATACGTATTGTCAGATGAGCATCTATGCCAACACATTATATAACTCAGTGCTCAAGGAAGGCAGAAAATGGGAGGGCGCGTGGGGGAAAAAACGAGCTCCTTCCTCGTGCGCCGCATGGACAGGCTTCTGCCTGGGAAACCCAGGGGCCACCCTCCCAGGCGGGCGACCTCCCACGAGGGCGGGCGCACGCGCACGCAGCCGAGGGCGCACCTTCCTCCCGTCGGTGGCGTACAGCTTGGTCACGCGGCACTGCATGGCCTCCGCCAGGTGCTGCAGCAACGCCTCGAAGCTCCGCGTGACGCGCCTGCTCAGCAGGACCACGCGCCGCGTCTGCGGGGCGCCG